TTTTCATTTTTTCTTTGGTAGCTATGCATCAAATACTGATCTGTCTGTTCCTTGTCATGACAATCGCCTATGCGCTTGCTCGACCCGATGATTTGGCCCCGAACGTGCTTTCCAAAGATCTTGCCTCTACAGACAAATACCCAGCCAAACTTGACAATATCAATGTAGATGATATTCTGAACAGTGATCGCTTGTTGGCTAATTATCACAAGTGTTTGATAGGCGATGGAAGATGCACTGCTGAAGGAAATGAAATCAGAAGTAAGTGATAATACACTGTATAATTCGTCTTATTGTGGAAAATATCGAAACGTATTCGCTATTAATCGTATACATGGTATTTTTATAAAATGTTAATTAATTATCCTATTTAACATTTTACGATCTGAGAAAGAATAATTGTAATTTGATTAGTCTCGTAATCTATATACGTTTTTTATGCTATTACATATACCATATATATTAATCGTCTTTATATATATTATAAACAAAGCATCACAACGTAGTAATAAATGATACAATACAATGGTAAATAAATAAAATAAAGTTTGAAACAGGAACATATGTATTGTACACTATTAACTTCTAGCTCATATAATGTTATAAGAAATAAAACTTTTATACACACATATTCTACACAAAAAATTAATACAATTAATAATAATTGTGTACTCTATTAGTAGAATATCTACTTTGATTCTGCTTTGATTATGTGACATTATACGAATTTCAAATAATTTCTTATTGTTATTGCAATTTGTCATAAGAATCACATTGTCACTAGTTTTATTTTTACTCTCAATACCTTCATATTATCAGCTTCATTCTATTAACGTGTTAATTCAATCATTTCTATATAATATATATCTACTATCATAAATGAAACGAGAAGCAAATAATTGCACTTACACATCAACTATCCATTTCTTTCTTCAAATTTCTAATCTATCGTTTAAGGACAAGATCAATTTGCTATATCTTTTCAAGCGCGATGCAATACTCTTTGACATTTTATATTATTTCTCTTTCGTTAACAGAGATATATATTTATGCCATTGATCAGTAAACAAACCATCGCCGAAATGTTATCCATTATTCTGCAATACCTTCACTTGTTTTGAAATTTAGTCAATTGATGTTTCTGTTTTCACCTTTCAGGGATCTTACCCGAAGCTCTGGCCACCGATTGCCAGAAATGTACTGAAAAGCAGTCAGAAAATATTAAGAAGGTGGCCTTCTTCTTGATCACGAAAAAGCCAGAGTTGTGGGACCAACTCATGGACAAGTACGACCCTGAAAAGAAATACAGAAGTAAATACGAGGAGCAAGTGAAGAAGCTGGGTGTAGCAGCTAATTAAACATAATTATTCGAACATAGGAGATTCGATCTTATAATTGTTTAGGAACAAATGCTATTCCAGAAATTATTCACGCCCCTAATAAACACGTAAACAACGTAACGATCGAATGACAATAGACAAACAGACGCAATATTTATTTCTACATGCAATGCAAACGAAAACAAAAAAAAAAAAAGAAAGTAATCTCGAGACGACGAACATGTAATTTTATAATGCGAGGGAAATAAAAATTGATTTGAACAAACGAGTTTGTATTTATTTTCAAAAAATAAACATTCTCAGGAAAAATTGGTCGGGTTACCCGGCATTCGTCGTTCGTACCTTCCTGTTTTCGATTTCGCTCACGAAAACAACTTGGTTTCGAGTGATTTCGTATTCATCGAGTGACTTTTACTCGGATCGTTGTATCATTTTCAGCTTTCAACCAGTTTGGAACATCAAGCGACTTGAAAACTGCCCATTACATAATTACGAAAGTGATCTTGATAATTTTAATATTACGCTGTATTATTAATAATAATAATTAAAAATTATTAATAATTATTAACGGAAAGATGTCATCGTTATGTGTGTTGCAATTGAAGTGTACCTGAATATTAGACGAACGCGTAAATTCATAAATAAGTTAAATGAGAGAATATTTTTTATCGAAATATCCTTCATAGTTTCTAGATTCTCGTAGTACCAGCTTATGGACGTAATTGACTTTCAGCGTAGAATTAAAAGAGATATATTTTACTATGATATTAACAAAATTAATCATATAGCAATCCACTATGTTCGCAAGTTCCTAGAAACCAGTTTTCTTTTCGAATTTTACCGCAGGATGTAGCAGAGAATCTTGCCTTCGTATGTGCTTTGTTTCATGTATACATTCTTGAGACCTTGAGGACCAGGTACCTTAATTCTAATTATATCTAATTATGTGGCTAATTACCTTCTTGTAGGAGAATATTTTTCAGCCACTGGTAGTTTGCTGGTAATTAAAAATCATAATCACTTCCTTGATCATTTTAACGTTATAAGTAAATAAGTATAGAACAAATAGAGTATAATTAAGAGTAAGTTCAATGCTTTGCTGACGAGTGTCTGCTACTCAAGTTTTTTTACCGTTGCGGCTGCGTGTCGGCATATAGCCACCCGAATTTGTTCACAGATCCGGAGAGTTATTTTGAAGTAGTTGGCGTACGTCTATTTTTCTAAGTGATAGTCTTATGTGTATAGCAAACGCATGGGTATAGTAAACTAAACAGTATTATGTTTCTGATGAAAGAAAATTATAGATCCTTAGAAATCTCATCTTCCGTTTAACGTAAACTCGCAATGCAGGATGATGGTCGAGTCAGAACGAGTTTCAACCTCGACGAGTCAGCAAGCTTTTTATATGTTTTATATACTTTTTATAATACCTTATGCACGATGCTTAAAAGATCTAGAAAGGTCATGTTCAATAGTGATAGTAGTGATGACAAATATTATTTTGAACCTGACAAGATAGAAGACGATGACAGTGCTTCAGACAGTAGAAACAATCTCCGTTCAACAAAGGTACTGTTCAGATGTTTCAATACTTGTAGTGATAGTGATAGTGATGATGAACTAAATATTGAAGAAAATAATACAAGCTTTAACAATGAATAACGCAATCGTTCAACGTGTATATATTCTCAATTGCGCGCGTCAATACCTCTCGTCCAATACGCCCTGTCCGCATATACGTTTCTTAGAAATAAGCTACTCATCATCCTCTTTTCTTTATTTCCACTCGCCGGCAAAGTGAGAGATCCTAGAACAAGAGGTTTGTGAAAGCGAGAAGCCATAATTTTTTGTGATAACATCGTTTAATAGAAGACGAATATACATATGATTAATGCTTCACCTTAGTGTTAACGACCCTGACGTGTTATATGCTGTTGGTTCAATCACTTGTTCATTTACCGCTATCCTGATCCTCTCACTCGTTCTCTGTGTTCTTTCTTGTCCTGTTCCTTCCTATGTAATTTATACAAATTTATGAAATCTATATAAATCTACTTCATTTTGTAGTCGACTCTAATTGATTCTTTCTTAACTTTCTGAAACTCCTTTTTATTGCCAAAGCAAAGTACAACATTAAGATATTCGGTGACAAATTTAATATTTTTTATAGCTGAATTATTAGTAAGTTAATTAATTGATTCTTCCCTTAATTTTCTTTAAACTTTCTTCTATTACCAAAACAAATTATAATATTTCTCTATTCACTGATGGATTTACTGTTCTCAATATTATTCCAATATTACCTTCAAATATTGTATCATATAATGACAGATAAAGTACAGAGTGGATATTACATGTAACGCTTTTTTGTGTTCTACATTTTGCAGGTCATGTGACTACCTTGCCATTTTGGTGCCATAAATGATGGTATTGATTCAATATAGTAGTTATATGAATTGAAAATAAAGTCTTCTATGAAGTTATAAATAGAATATTGAATAGATTTTATACTTACAGATATTTCCACCTGAGAAAATTGCAACAGAGTTTATAGATAACTCCAACACAGCAGTAAAGAGACCAAAATCGCAGCAAAATGAGCAAGAAAACCAGCAAAAAAGAAACAAAAGGACCAACAAAAGGATCAAAAAGATTCACAAAAATTTGCTTTAAAGAAATATGTCAACTTTTAGAAATCTTGTATGATGTCTTTTGTTTTGTTTTGGGTGATATGTGATGTTCTGCAGTATCTTGAAATATCTCACAATGTTCTATGATGAAAGGAAAGAGAATTTTGTAAAGATATATATATATAATTTATATACTACATATTATATTACATATATATATAGTAATATATAGTAGTATATAGCAATATATAGTAATATATAGTAGTATATAGCAATATATAGTAATATAGCAATAGGTTATAACTTACAAGTTGCATAGTTTTTAGGTTACTATCATTTTTCAAATAGTAGTATTCAAAAATATTAATACTTGTATCGTTTTAGTCAGTAATCGCATAAGTCAATTATGTTATAAATATTGTCAAATTATGTCATACTAAATCTTATATGTCTTATTATAATACAGTACATAATTTATATTACATAAAAACAATAGAATAACTTACGTAAGAAATTCATTCGTTTCATGAATTTTGTATGAAAATAAATATCGAGAAAATACAATACCATAGTACTAATAGAACAGAATACCATTAACACACAATAACGTAATAAATACGCGTCTAACGCATCTGCGCCCTGGTGACAAAACTAGAAATTAAGATTTGAAATTACCCCATTTCGCGGGGAGTAATGTTAAAAAGTGGAAGCAGCTGTAAACGATTCGTTGCCATAAATATGAAGAATTTAATACACATCGACATTTCATCACTTTAAAATGGTGAGAATGTTAACTTGAATTGTTTTGTACTCAGAGTTATTGACATATTGCAGATAGATCATGGTCATTAGTATTCTTTTGCTTATTCTAATGCTTTAGGTTAATTCTCGTATGCTCATTTAGAGAGAAACAATCTAACTATGTCTTATGATATAAATAATAATAGATATATAGTAATAAAGTGAGTATTCCGCAATATGTTAACAAAATTTATAACGATTTATCGTATTTCTATGTGAATAGACGGATATCGAAATAAATTTAACGAAAATCGGGATGGTGGCCGGGTACTGCCAGAAGATGACACGTTCCTGAACATATCTGCCGATAAATCTTGAAATAAATATTTGAAATATCATTTCACGCTGTGTCACATTGGAAAGAGGAAGCAACTGACGAGAGCTGGTCGTAAATGTGAAAGATTTAATATACAACATGGTGGGATGGCTTCAAAATAGTAAGAATTTTAATTTGATTTATTTATAATCTAGAATAATTTATAGTGATTTTTAATTTTTCGATGTAAATGTATGCTTATTAGTTTGCAATGAAAGTCACGTACATCGAGAAACACAAATCACGTATTATTGCAATGAAATACTTTTTCCTTTTCACTCCCCTTGACTTTTTTTCCTTGATAATCTCTTCCGTATCTTTTTTTTGCTTCTTTTCTCTTTTCTTTTTTTCCTTGTCCTTTCTTTCATACATCGAACTATGCTCATTAATGCAATATAGTTCAAATAACAATTTTACGATATTTTATTTTCATTTGATTCCTCTAAACTATATTAGTTCACTCGTGTTTACTTCCTACGCGTCTCCCCGTGTTTGAGTCTAACATGTTATTACCTTTTTTATTTTGAATTTAATATCGAGTTGTTGAAAACATAACCCTTCGTGCACGTTTGACTTTCCAGCGACCTTCCCACTCCCTGCCAACCGAACTTCGATGTGTAAATCGCGTTACGGAGGTCATTCTACCGACTGGAAATCTAAGCGATTAGACGTATATGTCAGGGTGAGCCCTTTTCTATTTTACGCAATACTTATTTTTCTAACGCCCGAACTCATTCTACTATTGACTTCATCTAATTAACTAGTGTTTTAATTCATTAATTTGTTACAATATACTATCAGGTTATCTTTTTTCCTTTGATTAACTTTTTGTTTATCCCATTTGTCAGTAGTTTGTACAACGAGTTTCCAGAAACAACTTAACATTGATCACTGCTTCACTTTATATAATTGTTTGTTTGTGTAATTTGTTCTTTTTATACATTTATTTTAATGTTTTCCTCTTCTTCTGTTTGTTACTGTTTGTTTGTGTAATTTGTCCTTTTTATACGCTTATTTTAATGTTTTCGTCTTCTTCTGTTTGTTGCTGTTTGTTTGTGTAATTTGCCCTTTTTATACATTTATTTTAATGTTTTCGTCTTCTTCTGTTCTCAGATTATGGTTTGATTGCAAGGACAACATGGAGGCGTTAAAGAGATGCCACGAAATTCGTAAGGACGTCATGATGTTGCTTAATGATCAATCTGATAGATTCTTATGCAAATATGGTAATATTTAATTTATTCTAATGAAAGCAGACGTATTTATTCATTTTCATAACGTTTTCTTTTTAATAGACAGTTGATAATATTTATTTGTTTAATGTATAACTATATTATATATTATATATTATATATACTATATACTGGGTGGTTGGTAACTGGTGGTACAAGCGGAAAGGGGGTGATTCTACGCGAAAAAAGAAGTCGAAAATATAGAATAACAATTTTTCGTTCGAGGCTTTGTTTTCGAGAAAATCGACTTTGAATTTTCGCTCGATTCGCGTGCGGTACGTTATAACGGATCTCAGTGTAGATCGTTGTCTCGATGGAAAAATTAAAAAAAAAAAATTTTATTCAATATTTTCGACTTCTTTCTTCACGTATAATCATCCCCTTTCCGCTAGTACCGCCAGTTACCAACCACCCGGTATATTTGATCGGTACACGTTCTTACAAATAATTCGTAATATCAACGCTATTAGTACGTGATGTAATAGAACTGTAAGTAATTTTATGATCCATTAAGAGTACAAAGATAGACGAGATTAATCACTTTGTTTATTTCGAACATATTAAATAAGTTCTGTATTTCAAATAAGTTAAATGAATTGCTTTATTGCTTGACATATTAACATTAAATTCTTTAAAAATCTATTTAAGTGAGAAATTAAAATAACTTTTACATTTTGCTGCATTTTCGCGAATTTTCCATGCTAATAGTGTCATTTCGATCTTCTTCAATTTATGCTATTTCTGAAACGAATACGTTCTACGCCTCGCGTTTTCTGCCTGATGCACAGGTATCTTGAGCTAACAACAAAAGCGCCCCATATTTGATTAATACGAAATACATTTGAAACTCTAATAACGGACATTCAGAGTTACAATTTTTACAAATTGGGTGCATTGCAAAATACTCATAGACATTTAGTACGTATTAAAAATAGTTTCTAATGTATAACTATATTATATATTATATATTATATATACTATATACTGGGTGGTTGGTAACTGGTGGTACAAGCGGAAAGGGGGTGATTCTACGCGAAAAAAGAAGTCGAAAATATAGAATAACAATTTTTCGTTCGAGGCTTTGTTTTCGAGAAAATCGACTTTGAATTTTCGCTCGGTACGCGTGCGGTATCTCACGCGTACGGATCTCACTGTAGATCGTTGTTTCGATGGAAAAATTAAAAAAAAAAAAATTTTTTTATTCTATATTTTCGACTTCTTTTTTCGCGTAAAATCACCCCCTTTCCGCTTGTACCACCAATTACCAACCACTCTGTATATATTATATATTATATATATTGACTATGTTATATAATATAACGGCATATTTTATATTCCTAATAATATGATATTTTGTTGTGTGCGCTAAATGAATACTAGTTCATAGTTTTGAAATAGCAGTATTTTCATAAATAAACACTCGATAGGAAGAAGAAAACTGATGATGCAAAAAATGACACAGAGTGTTTTACTTCTTTCCCTTCCCCCATTCCCTCTCATAAAGCTTTTTTACAGAGAATTTTTGTGATCGCGCGCAATGCGATTGGTAGACTCAGTGTTTGCTCGTTGTATTATTTTTGATATTCTTCAAAGCATCATAGCTCTCATTAAATTTAATTACAATGATCATTTGCGAAATTAGAGTCAGTGTGTTCGCCGATTATTACTTGAACGTACGCGTTACTGGTCTTTTATTTTTCTTTTTTTTTTATATCTTTTTTTATTAAACATTCGCTTTCGGTAGTAGAGTCGCAGGTCTCGCAAGAGGATAAAGCCACTCTTGAAGCTCAAGAATGTAAGTATTTTTGTATATTGCACTTTAATTTATTTTATTGCTCGTATTTAACTCGAACTACTATTAATTTCAATATTGAAATAAAAGTTTAAAATTTCAATATTGAAATATACAATAAAAATGTCTAACTGTTATAGTAATTAAACTTCATAGGAATTTCAATTCATTTTTATATAAAAATTTCAAGTTTGCGTGAAATTTGAATTTAGAAAATATTTGGATTTCAGTTTTTTAATAATCAGACATATGTTTTTAAGAACAAATTATAATATTCCATGTTTTGTTACAGTTTTCTTCCACTCTTTATTTCTTCTATGGAATTGCATGGCTCCACCTTGATAACGGCCTTCACGATGACCTTCCTACCAAAGCATCGATGATCCTGTTCCTCGCATCTAATGGTGAGTCGCATGCATTTTCGTTCCTCTGGTCACTCAATCATGTCGTAGGATGACAGGTCCGAATCGACACGGGTGACTGGTTGTATTACGTAGAACTTTTGACGAGCATAATGACCGCGGGTGTAATACTCGTGAGTAGTAACATTTATCGACTGTGTTTTATGTATTAGCTCAGGATAGGTTTTCTTGCATGTCGCGGTTTTAAATATTGAAAATAATGCATTAATATATAAGGAATTTGTACGAAGAACATAATGTTGATACATATTCGTTATGATTATTTATATAATTATATTCAAATAAATAACGAAATGATTTTCTTTAACTACTTTATAGCGGAGAAATCTGATTCCCTCAGATTTCGTTCAACATTATTATCAACATTATTTTAAGGCTATGATGATTAGATTTAATCTTTATATTCTATTTTACGATAGAACAGAACAAATGCATTATTTATATTCAGTATTATTTCTCTTATATGTGAAATATGAAATATGAAAGTGTGAGTAAAGTTTAATTTTGCCTTGCCGATAAAAATGTATCAAATTTCATGTGCAAGAAGACACTTCGCGAGAGGTAGATTTCAGAATCAAAGCACGTTTTTAATGTTTCTTTGTATTTCCAATGTACGTTTTGATAAAGGAATCGCCTCAGGATATTTCTATTTAATATTCAGTTAATGTATCAATAATCATCAAGTCAGAGATCAAACTAGACCATTATCCGCTTAGATGCAAAATATAATTGTTAATCATACTTTTAGCATAGGATTTTTAGATTTAAGCCTTTCCATGTTCATTGCCAGGACCCCATTTAAGTGCCCAGATGCTACTTGAATGGGAGAAAGGCAATGAGCATGATGACTAGTTGATAATGTTGCGCGGCAAACTTTAGTGCCGGTGGCGTCCCGGGACGTCTCTCTAGTAGTAGATTTAAGTTCCAGAGGGCATTGCGCCCGAAGAAAGAAGAGGCCACGAGCCGAAGAGGCCCGACAAATTGTCATGGAAGAGGGCAACTACTAATGTATTATAATTATATATAATATAGTGTTTCTTGTTACTACTATGTCACTATGCTCGTTGTTAGTATTTTTTTTTTGTCTTGGCCGATCTGCATGCCGGCCCTCTACCACATTGGGCAAATCGCGGATTTTTTATTAGTATTGCGAGAAATTATTGATTACGTGATACTGATACATATTAGAGTTTTTCTTGTATGCTTTAAAGCTTTTTCCTTCGTTTAATGTTAGATTTGCAAGTGTTAACATTTTATTAATTTTATAGTATCGTAGTTTGTTTTAGTACGATATTTGAGATAGGTTTTTTTTCCTATATGAATATTAATTTTGTTTTAAGAATTAGTCTTTCGGTATTTTATTGTGATTATTTTAATTAACTTTCTAGTTAGAGTTGCGTTGATGAACGACCGCGTTTTTGAAAGTAGTGTTGCGACTATATCATGCTCGATCTTCTTCCACTGGACTATGGAACCACGTTCCTGCTTCTGGATCATCAGATGCAGATTCATCAGTAGCCTACCATATAGCTACACTGGACTCGCTATTAGTGTTGCGAACATGTAAATATGAGTGCATAGAGTAATAATTATTAATGTTACGTAAATAATTCACGCGGAAATTTTCTGTTTCTTTTTGTCAATAGTAAATTAATCAACGTTGCAAAAATAATAAAGCACTCGTCGCGATTTGCATTGAGAAATTTCTGTTTTATAGCTACGTATAATAAATCAAAGTTGCGAAATAAAATGGATATTCCACTTACGGCTGTTCGGTTACACCGAATGGTTCATGGCTCTTCTGGCTTGCAGAGTCATTTTCTTTCTCTGTTTATGATTGAAAATACTGCTATGATATGTTGTTGTTTGTTAAATAATGAATATTTTTTGGGTGGGATGGAGTTTCATTAAATAATTTCATATCGCATCCAAGGAAAAGTAAAAAAATGTAGTCAAAAAGGAAAAAAGATATTTTTATACATTATCACACTATTAATTTATTTGAAAAATACATATGCCTATGTTTTTAGAATTAATAACCTGAATATTCGTTATTATAATATTTATCTTAAATAACAAATATGAATTGGTTATGAATCAGTTTGGTAAATGAAGTTGTTAGAAGCTCGTTATTAAATTAAGTGTCATTGGATTATTAAGAAATAAACCAGGTGATTTTTATCTGTTCTTTCTTCATCTTAGTACTTCACTTCAATTTAAAACCCAAGTTAAATTTAGATTCAAATTTTTCAATTCAAATCCTCAGACTGAAACTCGTGTCTGGATAGTTTGATATTTTCTTGTGTCTAATATGTCTTCCTTTCAGGTGTTTTTCTTTAAATGTACTAATCCAATAAATGAGTATGTTCCAGATTGATTAACTTGTAGGAAGTATAAATTATGCATATGGAATTTTAACGACCTCTCAAATGCCTATGAACGAACGACTGGAAAGTGGAATAGTATAGATTTAAAAAAAATGATTTAAGGAGAAGTAACACGTATGAAGAAGTCATATTTGAGTCCCTTCTATTGGTATCTAACTATATATATTTATAGAATTGTACTAATTTTTGTATGGTTTAAGTTTGTTTCAGGATATTGTGAAATCGACGGAATGACATTTACGTCCCTCGCTTGCCCTACACAATGAGAAATACAATTTTCCATTCCATCCCTTTGTGATAAATAGATCTTCTTTATATCAGACCCCCATAGATAGACCTTTCAAATTTTCTGGTCATGACTTATAAAAGAATCTTCTGAATCCTGACCGATATGGCTAATAAAGAAGCCTTCAAATTTCTCACAAATAGGATTTAAAAAGATACCAAGACTAGTGATAGTTAGGATCTATAAAGATCCTGTTCACGTCTCTGATACATAGGACCTATAAAAGAATGTTTTATTTTGTTTAAATTAATTTAAATTCAAGTTCGTTTCAGAAATTTCTACAAAACTACTAGGAAGATACAAAGTATTTACAGATACATGTATAAAGAAGAATTTCACAATGCACAACACTGAAGATATCATAAAATAAAATTTCATAAAATACTCATTCTCCCTGTCCCTTTATTACGTTTAAATATATGGTAGTTAGAACTCACGAGAGTTCTGTATTAGGTAGAACATAGAGGGGGTTTTGAAATTCGTAGGTAAAACAATTTTAAGCTGCTTTTGATTTTTGCAATGGTTTCAATGCTTCAAATGCTTTCAATGCTTTCAATGCCTGTAGTTAGATTTGTATTAAGTGCATGCGTGATTATGGGTGGCATGTGAATGATGAAGAAAATTAGTATAATTCTTCATGATACGCATTTTACCTTTTGTTAAACACTTTTAAGCGTCAAGTATTCTTCTTCATTTCTTTGACAGCAAAGATGTAAAAAGAATATACTGTCTCTTAAAGAAATATAATTTAGTTTAAGATTTAATTTGTTTTTTACTTTTAGATGTCGAAATCGGTTTAGTTTCTCGCGTCAGTTTCCTTAAAGTTCCTTTTGGTTTGTCGTTTGCGCAGCGATCGAAGGATCGGACGTTTCGCAAACACACGCGAAAAGTAGAATTTGCTGTAATTTTTTCTACGCAAAAGTAGTACATTTTTGCGTAAAAGGAGGGTGGATGGGATCGTGGATAGGGTGGGTCTCCACTCGCAGCAACCTCCACGTGGTGAGACCTGGACACTTAGTATTATTTCATATACAATTGCTAACTGTATCATTATATGTGATAGAATTATGAATTGTATTATAAATAATATTATGAGCTGATTGGCTGTGATCGCGATTGTATCATGTAGTTGGAGCATTTGTTAGATAGCTTCATCGATTTCTGCATAATCATGGATTTCTACCTCGTAGTTGTTTCATACTGAAACATTTCAAAAGTTAATAATATCATGTCTTTCCAAGTTTATTCTACGATATATTAAATTCTACGTTTAATTCTGTATTAAAATGAGCAACTTTTGCACAAGTATTCGCATTGTAGTTGTATTGTTCACAATCTCTTAATAATCTACACAATAAAGTTTAATCTTAATTTCAAGCATAATCAACTGTTGTAACTTTCTTTTGTGAATCATTCAACAATTCATTAAATCGTCTGCGTTTATGCGTGTAACGAACGGAGATCTTCTCGTGGCTACTGGCTTTTATCGTTTTCGATTCGGTTGGGATTAAATAGAGGTTGAAAACTGATATGACATGTAGATAATTTCTATGTTCCCCTTAGCAAATCGCAGATGGCGTAAGAAACAAGTCCGGTCTTTTTCAATGTCGGTATTTCAGAACCCGTGAGACGTAAATTCTCATTTCGTCAAGTGTCGCGTATATCCTTTATGTCGACGATACGATCCACTAATTTGCCGATCTACTGTTAAAAATTATTAGAATGCTAGTAAAATGTAGGCAATAAATACGAGCCATGAAAAAGTAAAGGTCGCTAGTATTGATTCGTTTGTTACTTAGAAAGCGGTAGCTTGAGGGGCATCGAGTTATCGCATCACCAAACAGAAACTCTCTTACATAACGACTGTTGCAATACATAAATTTTCGATATCTATCAAGGCGCTCCTTGACGAAAGTCCCTATGACTTCACGATCGACAGATCTAACTAATACAATTACGAGGTGCTTCCAAGAAGTCGATTCTAGTATAAGGATTCAGAAATACGTGTCAAGGATTTCTTCTTTAACCAACGAAACGACGATACTTTGACTCGAACGAGTTGCATAAATTGATTACACGCAATTACCAGATAAACTCTTGCGTACAAGATACTAGAAATGCCCGGAATGGAGAATGTAACCAATCTCGGTCTTCGAGTGGAGAAATTCAAGAAAGATTTCCTCAAGCATTACCAGGCCAAGTTTCCAATCTTGTTCCGTATTTGTTTTGATCCGATAGGCACTCATAAGAAGTCGCGTGCCTTTATCGGTTTCTTGCTCGGATTTTTTATGGCTGTTCTTCTATACGAATGCATTATCGTCGACCTGCAGTTCGACGCGTATACCAGCGTGTACCTTGGTGTTATTTTGATTACGATGCTGTCAATTGGATGTGCCTTGTCGATTCAGGTGATAATCAACTCTTCCGGAATATTTTATCTTTAAAAACAATTTTCCTACCTATTATTCGTAGTTGAGACACACCACTTTACTTTCGTAAAGCAAGTGTAACGCAGGTAAAATTTAAGTGCAGTTCCACCGAAAATAAACACATGATTTATTGTTTAATTAATAACTTTCTACACTACAATTTCCCGTGTACTCGAGATTAGAAAAGAAAAATTAACAGTCACTGCGATATATTTCATGATACGTCTCTCGAAGATTACTTCGTAACTAATTTTTCTTGGCACGTGTCGAAGCTCGTTTAGTCATTGGAAACTTCATTAGCAAAGTAATGCTATTTGTCAAGTAATTGCGATTATATCCGCTGCGTATAGCTGCAATTGATCACAATCTGTTAACTGATTGCGACTGTTGCAATTAAGCCTGATTCGCATGAACGAACAGCTCGTCATGGTATAACACTGAAATCATTCTTTAACGTATTTAATGGATTCCACATTTGTTTTTTGTCACATTCTTCGTATACATAAATATTTCTCGTGCCGTACGTTTTAAATTTTAAATCAAGCAGTCCATTATTTATAATTCCACGCACATTTTTCATGATTTATTTACAATTCTTCCATCTGCTTCGGATCAGATATTATTATTAGCCCTTAATGGTCCAAGTGTGCTTCTCAAGCACCACCGATGTGCGGCGCTCTACTCTTTAAAATCTGACACTTAAAAACTTCCAAGTCGAAGTATGATGAAAATAAGTTGAAGTTGCCGGTCAATATTCACAATTAAAAGTCAGTGCATTAAGGGTTAGATTACCTGCATAAGATCTCGGATACCTGTTATTCAGTTTCTGAATATTTATAATATTTACAATAATAAGTAACCAATATTTAAGAACGAACATATTCGATATTTACCATTGTTAACACATCGCAGGCGAGATGCTTTGCGAATAACGAAGTGGTGTTACTATGTTTTGTCAGTAGCGTAAATTGCTGTTGTTTTTCTTCAAATTTTTGCACGATATATTTCATATTTTAATAAAAACGCTAAATATCTTATTGAAAATATTGAAATATGAAATTGGATATATATATATAAGAACTTATTTATTATTCATTTAATATTTGTTACTTATTTCTAACAATAGGTGAGATGTATTTCCATCTTGACGATACCAGCGTTTTTTGGCCGAGCAGGTCGAAGTATGTTGAGAGCACTGATTTTTGGATACATCATTGCCGGACCATTGTTTAATTTAGTATATAACGCTAAAGAGGTGGTAAGAACATTCGGCTGCACTACACAGTTGACGTACAACCTTACCAAGACAAGATTTGATTTAATGTTCAAACCGTTTCAACAGGTATATCTACTATTCTGTTAACAACGAGTAAATAAGTGTAAATTAATTCTTACAATGTCTACGCGAAACGTCGGTTTTTATTAGAAAGGATCAAAAAATATACAGTATCAACTAAATAGAATAAAATATGCAGCTTCATGGTTCCTGTGTTTTCTGCAAATTGGGGAGCTCAGGTAACACTGCTCGTTATATTTTAATTAAAATTCATATTTTGAGCGAGGTCATATTAAAGCCAAAATAATTTCGATGCTTATTACGATTTCAATGTTTGTTGGGTTACACAATTTAGAATAAAATTTTCCGAAAGCACAGGAAGATCCAGTATGATCCAGGTAGGGATACGTATGTCTGCGTGATTTTTTTGCTACGTCGGCGCCAGTTACGAAAATTCCTCTTATTTTTGATCGTTATATTTATTAAAAGGCGATCCTTGCTATGAAAGCGGATGCAAATGAGATAAAAGACACGCTTTCTTCGGTGAGGGACTTAATGAGCCCGATTGTCGAAGAAGTGGAGGGGGAGGAAGAAATGTTACGATTAAAGGAGGAAAACGATTATTTGGACGAGTTGCAAGGTGATACAAAAAGAAGCAAGGAAATCGAAGAGAAGCACGAGAAAAAAATTGAAGAAGCCAAATCAGATGCAGAAATATTTGAAGCTAAATATAAGAAAAAAATCGAAGCTCGATGCGAGGAGCAACTTAGTCGTGGTGCAGGAAGATGTAGGTATGTTTGAAAAACCTGTTACATATCTTGCAATTTATAATACCTTTCAATTTTAATATTGCCCGAGTATTCCAATCAAAATATTTGGCAACTTTCGCTAATTATAAAATTGACCGAATATTTATTTTATTTCTATCATTTATTATTTATACTACCAAATTACGTTTATATTTTATTTAATTTTATTTGAAGTAACGCTTTTCAATTATTTAATGGAAATTACAATACATTTTTTTTTATAGGTTTCTCGTGAGTTAGAAATTTAAATTAATATTGTCAAATATGTACAAATAATCTTAAAGGGACATGTTCGGTAATGCTTACGACAAGTGTTACGAAGCGGTGAGCGTATTTGTTGCTTGGCTGTTGTGTTGGCCGATGAAATTGACTTTCGTCTGTAATCTGGTTCAAGCACTGGGTGGTTCTAGTATCTGTGATCCTGAAGGAAAGGTTGATAGTGGCATCGGCGAAGGATACATCGCTTTGAAAAGTATTATTATAAAATTATTGATTCTTCCAGAAAATTAAATGAAAAAGAACGGAAGATAATTCTTTACCAATTTTCCTACTATTAAATATCGAACGGAAATTTAATATTATTTTAAAATAATCGTTTTACAAATATGTCCAAGCCTGATGCGATCTATTTTGTTAGAAAAGATCCGTCTTTTTCTCTTATTAGTCACGCGCGAGCCACTTGGAAGACATAGAACTTGATCCATGTCTTTTAAAATTACCTTAGAATTTATTATTATTTATGTCATCTTCTCGCGACGAATGAACTCATAAATGTAAATCATTTGCTCCCCGAGAAGAAAATATTAATAAATGTCAATTTATGTAATTAAAATAACCAATTAACCAAAAGTGGAGTTGACCAGTTTGGCTTCTGAGAGGCTCGCACATCAGGCACCGTTTGTGAATCGCGATTTCCTGTGTTAAAGTTCACCCGTACGATCTTTCTTCGAAGGTGCTCGGGACGAATTCAGCCGAAGCTTAAAGGACGCGAAGCTGCAGTACAAAGTGAGGAAGCCGCCGGTGATTTTGGATCTTCAAGATTCGGCGTATGCTGCCAGAGCGGTAATACACGAATTCACAGTGCGGAGAAGATTGTTCCAGTCCGTGATGACCATCGTAAAAAGATGCTTGTCCTTCGTGTTTCTAAAAATCATTCTCGACGCTCAGAGATACCACGACGAATATTTGAATGACATTGAGTTCGACAATATATATGTGTCGCCCTATTTCCGCAAGATAGACGCAAGAAGAAGAGCACGTGGTAGTATGACTCTGTTGCCGTTCAAGAAAATCGAGAGGAGAAAGTTTGTTGATCCTTACAGTGTGAAACCGAGCAAAACCGAAAGGTCTCATTTGACTGGACAGATAGTCAAATTGCTTCTTGAGCTCATCACGGCCAGTGTTTTCGTTATTTTGGATTGGTTATTTTATGAAGTGTTGGATTTAATCAGGAGGCACGCTTATATGGAGTACGCTCAGGTAGAATTCATTTCTACAAGTAGGATATAAATAGGGTAGATCATTTTAAGTATCAGTGGTTCACGATTAAGGAGTTGAAATGATAGATGATACATGCGCCACTCGAAAGTCTTAACACGTTGCTTATCGGCAGCCTTCTAATAGGCTTCACGGCATCGGCATTTATCGACTGGTTGCCTATAAATCGGCGTTTTGTTATTTCGGTTATCAACCGGCAGGCCACCGGTTTTTCCCAAATCTATTAGAAGCGGTAGAAGTAGAAAGATTATTAGACAGATTCGCTCGTATACTGTTAATAATAATAGCGCGTTATCTACTTTTTCAATGTGGACAGCGATGATGGCGATGAGAATATGTCGACTCCGAAATCGATAATATCTGGAATCTTGAACTGATGGTCTGTCGTACGTATCCGCTCGATTTACTGCGAGTGAGTAATTTGTTAAGACTATTTTAGAAAATTATGCACGAATGACATTGACGTGTTTATGGTTCTTTGCGTTTTGATCGTGTTTTCAATAGTACGTTGCGCTTTGGTCCAACGTTTCCTGAAACTCCCAAGTTTTTCATGCTTCTTCGGGGCAGACCTGAACAGCTTCGTGTCACAGTTGCACAATGAATAGTACGTGAAAATGGCATTTCCAGACCTACCCTCGAGAAATGAACCAGAATGTCGCAACGCAATGCAATGTACTAGTGTCAGTGAAAGTCATTTGTGCAATTACTTACATATTTTATATACAGGGCGAGTCTCCTAACATGACGACTTGAAATAACTCGTAAGTTATTCTTTGTACGAAAAAATGTTTCAAACAAAAGTGGCATGGTATCTAGGCTATCTAAAATATTAGACATTCCCTTTAAAAAACTGAACGTGGCCGTAGTATATCGTTAAAAAAGTAAGGTAATAAAAAATAAATTACAGCACTATGTACCCCTAGATATCATGCAACTTTTGCTTCAAACATCTCTTCTTACAACGAATAATTTGCGAGTTATTTATATATAGTTATAATAATAGTATATAATAATGTAACGATACATATATATTTTGCAAAAGAATCTACAGTTCGCATGGTTCTAAAATAATGTGTTTTTTCAGGCAGGTCACCACGACCTAAGTTTGGAAATTCGCGGAACGGGGGTGATCGCATCATTGATCAGAAACGCGATTCGCGGTTTCAACGTGAAGAAACGAATTAAAACCGTGGTTTCGAACAGCGCGTGCCTTCCTCGACCCACGAAACTACCCGCTTACGTAATCGTCAGGATCTACGGTACCTTCATCGCAGTTTTCCTCCTGATCTTCGCGTCCATCTACACTGAGAGATTACGTCGTGGCATTTGCTCGTTCTTTTATCGAAGAAGAGAAAAGAGACGAGTATTGTACCTGTACAACGAGAGTTTACGACGCAGGCTCTCGTACACCAAGTTCATGAAGGCTAAGGTGAAGAATATGGTGAGAACGCGTCATTTGGAGAACGAGGTGAATTTCTGGTTGGCCGTGAGACTTAAATGGCCGGATCGTTTTGGATGGCTCAAGTACTTCGCCTGTGCCAGGGAAAGATGTTTAATCTGCGGCGATCCGGAGCCTAGAAAAGGGCCAAAGTACCGAGCATGCATCACTCCAGGCTGCCCCTTCTTGCATTGCGCTGAATGCTGGAGAGACGTAGGAAAGATTTGCTACGCTTGCACTGAATTTTCCGATACAGAAACGGAAGAGTACGACACCCAACGCAGTGACTTTTAGTTCAGTTAACCCGCTGTCGACCAAGCAATGGTATAATTCGTACAAATTGCCTAAGCGCAACATTATTGATAAACACGGTCGCTTTTATAATCACAATGTTGAAATACAATGATAAGCAACAAAAATTGCAAATGAAATGAGTTAATGCAACGTTAATCTTTAAAGAATTAAAGACTTGTTGAAGCTTTACAACTAAAGACATTAATTAATAAGCTTAATTATTGAATTATATTATATGGATGGTGGTACTGTAATTATAACCATTCTTTATTTGTGTACTAGGATATTAATTATTGAATATGAATGCATTAATCCCTTATTTATGTTTTTTGGTAGCCACTTAAATGAGCATCAGCTGTTACAACTTGTATTTGTGATTTGTGATTAAACCAGTAGAATTTAAAACAAGGAAACTTAGATTTATGCCAAATCGATTGATTTTATTCCAATGTTTAACATACGATCAGAGATTACGTATTCTTTTGAGGAAAATACATATGATAGGATCAATATTACGCCTCGAGGTACCAACGATACTAGTCAAGATTGTAGGTAGTAGTGGCTAGAAACATTTTTCGGGAAACTATGATATCATCAGAGATGGTAAAGCCATCTCTACGTATAAATCTCACGTACCAAACTCGACAAGAAGTCTCAGATTTCATGAGGAAGAAACGAGAACTTAAAACGTGCATTTACTATGTTGGATTTATGAGGACTGTGATGCTCGAACGGAATACAAAACATTCAAGAGCACAAAGTAGGATCATTCCTAGTTTTATAATACAATGGAATTATCCGAGGAATCTCGCATCTCCATTAAATTTCCACGAAGCCAACGATGTATCAAGGTAACGTTAACATAAGTATATAATGAGTTGCAGACGCGCAGCGATTTACGTCTGTTTCACATAATTCAAGGAAAGATTGCGACGAATCTACTTGAATACGACATGAGGTCTCGCAAATTGGTTAAATTCCGTTCACATACACGAAGAGGCAAGATGCTGTATGTTGTTATAAAGAGAATTTAACGATGATTACTATAATTGTTAGTATTGTACAAAAAACAAGGTACATAATACGTATACTGTTCTTATTAGTTAAAATGTTGTATCCGTGATTTCGTAATTGAAGAAAACTCGAGTTCTACTCATCTTCTTTGCAGCATTTTAACTTATGCAAGAAGGATAATTTTATTATTCCATCGTTTTACTGTTTTACTGCTTTATCAGTTTGTTATTTCGTTACTCTGCCATTTTATTACTTTATCATTTGAAGAGCGCTCGAGGGAAACGCGACAAACTAGGGTTAAAGTTCCTGGAAAAGGAATAGCTTGTTAGATTCGGAAATATAAGTTTCCTGAGTGCAGGTGACACAATTTTTTAATGTTCAATAGGGTGTAAAAATACGTATTTAATTTTGCAAGCAAATAAGAGGGCAATTTTAATAACATGGAATTGATTATGGAATTTTACAATTTTCCTATTTTACTATTTTCTCATCTTATAACTCTACTGTTTTATAATTTTATTCTTTCTCTATGTTACCACTCTATGATTCTACTATTCTGCCATTTCTTCGTTTTACTATACTATTTTCAAAATTTGTAGGGAACTCTGGTATTTCAACATTTTCATATGGACACCGTACAAGAGGAACGATAGAGGTACCGGTCACCTGTTGCAAGCTAAAATCGAATTTCATCCACGTTAATAAGAATTGCTCGGTTCGTCGAACATCGCGGCGCGCAAGAAAATGATCCTTCCGTGCGCATTTTTCCTAAGGAATTACGCGGTAGGTACAATTTCCTTTAGGTATGATAAGTAATTGGCCGCGATTTCGTGCTACTAACGAGCCATGCACGAGACATATAAGATCTCCACGCTAACGAGCTGGACGTTCAGTAATCGAAAAAGCCAGCAACGGTGAATCTCCGCTCAACGAAGATGAAGACTGTCCTGATTGCTGTCGTGGCTGCTATCTGCTTCCTGCTCGGTGAAGTACATTCCGAAGACAAATATACGACGAAGTACGACGACGTCGACATCAACCTCGTACTGAACAACGAGAGACTTCTGAAAGGATACGTGAACTGTTTACTCGATCGTGGTACTTGCACCCCGGACGCGGCTGAACTTAAAAGTGAGATTTTTCCTATGTAAAAATTTCTGTTTTATATATATATCGAGAATGATTGTTGTTTTGCGTGATAAGTCGATTGTAGTTTGTTGTTCTATTTAGATAATTTATTATTTATGTATGTATAGGGGTGGTTCGTATTTATTTAAACAATGAAATACATTTTATTGTATTATTTTTATTTCATGTTCTACTACATTTTGTTTGTGGCATTTCGATGCTATAAAACTGCTAAATAGTGAAGAATTATAAATAAAATGTGTAGTGAGCGTAAAAACTATGGAGTAGAAACAGGCAATGACTAATCTTCTTTGTGGAATAAGACAAGAAATGTCTCCATTCTTTCTATTTTCACCGCTTGTAAACATTATTATAATAATGTAAGAATACTTTATTTAGTCAGACTGTACGTCTATCACAAGGAGGTTCTTTGGCTTAGCGTAGTGATTTACTTGTTACATGTACAAGCATCCTAATCCTAGGAATAGTTGTTCTATCTTTACAGCCTATTATTATTAGATGTACATGTAGTTTAATCCCTCTATCTTAGTTTTAATATAATTTATATGTGCATGATTTAACTATGGTACCAATATGCTACAGTACAATGTATTTTCCTACTTACTATTTAATTACATCTGTGTTATTGCTCAGTGATTCTTCCTGAACTAACTTCGCTATTATGAAGTTTTTAGAATTTAACTTATCTTCCTTTTCATAGCTTTCTGGTTGCACTATGTCAATTTTCAACTTTTTCATTCAACTTTCCAAATCATCAAATTTTCATTTAACTTTTTTCCTTGTTGTGTCTGTCTGTGCTGATTACGCTTAGCTTCATGGCTACTTGAACGTTTTTCTAGATACTGATAAGATATTATTTATTTAGATAACAATACAAACAGACATTATGTATTTCGTTCCAGTGTTAATATTCAGTCTGGAGGAAGAAATTAGGAAAATATAAAACAATCACATCTTTCTCTAATAATCTTCTCTCTCATCCCAATTAGAGTTTCAGTGCCATAGAATATGCCATTAATTCACCATTACTTTAAATTACAAAAGGACACTTATAAGAAAAAATACACATCAAATGAAAGCAATAATCTTTGTTAATTCAGTAATGAATCAAAATGATCTGACTGGCCTTCCCATGCAATGTTAGAGTCCATGCTATGAACAATACAGTTAAACTCAATGGACCTTGGTCCCTCGGTAGTGCACTAACATATTAAAACGCGATTATCTAAATATAATAAAGTCGTTACTTAGTGGCATTCCATGTTTCTTCCCCTTACCCTCCACATGTTTAACACAATCATCCAATGACTCCAATTAAAGACTACTTATCATGTGTCATAGCCTGGCGTAACCACCGAACATCCAACGAGTGAAAACAAAGAAACACAAACAACGCGTACAAGAGGTTACGGCTGAGCGCCAGGAGGAAGAAGAAAAACTATGGCGGTGTCGTTTAGAGCATCATCGCAAAGGTCGTTACAAGGCACCTTCGCTCAGAGAAATGTCGGACGAGTCAATTACGATATGTCCGTGCGCTCGTATGCATATTCCAGTGATGTTCAGAACGTTGTCGTTTCACGGTCGACCGCAATTTTATGAGCGTCGTTACTATTCCTGAGGTACAAGGCCGCGCATTAAATCGGTTACGCGTCCTTTGCCATCTAAGAAAAAGGACCCATGCGTGTTACAATTACTCGTGTATAGAATTTATTTCTGCTCGCATCATTGCAGCTGAAATTCTTGATTGTAAGGAAGTTTGTTATCTCTACTTTTTGTCTTCTTTCTAGGAAGCTGTGTGTTAGCCTTTTGTGCCAGGAACACATTTACGACAAGATCCGATCTCGTTAGAGTGAATTTTCTTGAAATCAGGATTTTCGTTTGGAAGAGAAAGGAATTGCAAGTATTTCTAAACTCAAAACTCATTTTGTCTTTTGTCATCTTTCTATTGGCAAGAACAATACGACAGGAATGATCTTCATATTACTATGAAATTTTGTCGTCGTAACAGAAATACGTTCAAGGTACACCATGTCTAACCCATTAGAAGATAATCTTAGTGATGTAACGAATAACTAGAGAGCAATTGATTGATTATATAAGCATCGTCCAATCAAGTATGCGTTAGTTATATAATATTAACGATGAAGTCCATAATGAAACTACATCAAATAATTTGGGATTTGAACATTCAATCGCACTATCGCTCTAATTTGTATTATATTATGTACTTATATTGTATACTGTAATATTGTATACATACTCATCAGACACAGAGTATGTGTGGCTGTTATAATGTAGAATTAAGCTATGACTGTTTCATCTCGTTTTACGCATGACGAGTATACTGCTGATAACAAAAAATATTGCCATTTTCATATCTTCATGGCGAGTATACTTGTGAAAACAGCTAACTGGTTAAACACCTATACTCGTCTCGATGCAGTGTAAGAAGTACAACTTTCTTTTTGTTGTAACGTTCGAACCTCTTTCAAGGTCTTCTCTTTTAAAAACACGCCCAAAAAGATCAGCTGGATCGCTGTATTAAAGCTCCTTTTCTATGGTCTTTACCGAAATCGCTAATGAAATATCACGTTAACGCAAAACTTTGGCCCCTAAATTGGCGTTGAGTTGAATTAGCGTGTAAAAATAAATTCAATGATTTATAATTGAAATTGCAGAAAACTTGCCCGACGCATTGGCCCACGGATGCTCAGCATGCAGCGAGAAGCAGAAAGAAATAGCGGACAAGCTTTCTCAATATCTGATCGACAATAGAGAGGAAGAATGGAGTCTTCTGGAAGCTAAGTACGACTCGTCAGGAGCTTACAGACAACGTTACCTTCAGAACCAATTCAGAGAAAAAGCTGTGGACTAAATTAGCCTCGTAATTCAATGGCATCGATTATCTTCGCTTCATTTTTGTTCATGTTAAATCTACTTGGTATACACGTAATGATGCACTGCAATGATTTGCTAGAAATGCTTACAGAACATCCACTGATCGGTATGGATTATATGATAAGAACATCTTAAAACAATGAATTAAGTATTTTACAAATCTGCACATTCCTTCGAAGAGAAATCATCAAGGGCCTTTCTATAATTGTAATTACAATCAATTAAAGTTATCTGAAAAATGCATCAAAGTGTTGATTTTCTAGTCTAATAGAAAGACGTATACGAAACTTGAAAATTGTTTCCTTTCGATTTTCTTGTTTGAAAAATATTTTAGCCTTTAAATTATTTGTTACAGGCTCCGTTTAAAACTTGAAAATATTTCCAATCTTTCAATGGAAACATACCTTCGCCTAGATTTACTACAGAGAACTACATATTTAAAGTTTGAAAATTATTCATCTGAGTGTGAAAAATACTTTTTAAAGTATAAGTTTAATACTTGAAAATTGTCCACCTTAAATGCTTCAAGTGAGAAGATAGTTTCAGAATCTGTAAAAAAATCTGCTTCAGACCTTGAAACATATTCGACTGAAATTTGTTGATTATAAGAAAATTAAGATACCTGACGTCCTAAATGTTTAATTTCCAGAACAGAAGATTGTTCGACTGAAATTCCTTCAATATCAAAAGAAATTAAATTCGTGTCTAATTCTCTGTCACAAAAACTGTATTACAAATAATTTCAACCACAGAATTACCGAAAAACTATTTGTGCACGAGTCAACATTTAGGATTCATCTAATCTGCATGCTATTAGCGAAAATGATCTGTTGCGTCTCGCTCGAACACAATAATTAATTCGAGACTAATTAAACGGTGATTAATGAGCCTGCGACTAATCTATCAACTTCGAATAGAGACAGGCCTGAACTCGCTTTCAGCTAAAAGTGGAATCAGATTTAATAACTGGAGCGCCAAGGAAGAATCCTCGATTATCCTTCGAAGTCGATTACTCATCGTGATCCTTGACACGGAACGTCTTTTTGCATGAAACAATCGACCATTAAGAGTCAGTCGCGACCTATGGCGTTAAACGTCATGCAAGAAATTGCAGTTGCGTTACATCGTTCGACGAATTATTTGCTGTGATATAGACGTTGGTTGGTTTGGACATTTAAGCCGTCGATTATAATCAGATAGAAACGACGTGACCGAACTACAATTTGCGACCAATTGCACGCCTGTCGTGATAACAAAAACAGTTAATTGAATTGCATCTCTTGTATCTCTTGTATCATGGCTTTATCAGCCATTGCAACACGAATGCAAGAAAATTATTTTCTTGGTGATGGTATCGCTTTAGGAATCGTGCAGTTTCTTTGGGAAAATTTATTTCTTAGTCTTTAAAAGCTTAATTGTTATACAAAGATTTTTATTTGAAGAAAAATTGTGAAAAATGTGTTACGAATTACAAATTTTTCCAGCTTGCTTTCGTCCTTCATCCTCGAGTTCTGTTCGATTTCTGTGCAACAGGAAAATGTTAACACGTTCGGGTAAAACGAGATCAATACGAGAATAAAAAATAAAAGGAATATTAAAAGTAAGCATATTTTATATCGAAGAAATTCCTTTGCTGTGTAATTTTGCACACTTCTAATTTTGTATACTTCTCTGTATTTCACATAATCCAAAATAATATTCACAAGTTATGGGGAAAATAATGATCTCCTCCCCTCGTTAAGTATTTACGTATTTGTATATTCTACATAGGCCAACACAATATTCACAAATTATTAGAAGAACGATGTCTACATTCTCCATTACACTCTCCATTACAACACTCATATATTATACAAAAAAGTCTCTATTTTCCCCATTACACATTTACATACTTCTATAATTCAAATAAGGATATAAGAAAAGAGATTATTTTTATTTTCCCCACTGCGTATTTGCATATTTCTATATTTCGTACAATCCAAAGCACATGCCAAATTACAAATAAAATTATCTTATCGTAAACGTTCTTTCCTCCGTAGACCTCCAATATCAAGACACGTAAGTCGAAGCAACTTCCTTGCGCTACTGTTTACCCTGTGTCTCCCTCTCTCTCTCTTTCTCTCTCTCTCTCTCTCTCTCTATTTCTCTGTCCCGCAAGTGAGAGAAAAGGAAAAATGAGAACGCTGCATAATCTTGTGCTACATTTTGTGGTTTAAAGTTACCAAAAATATCCCGTATCCGGACACTCCAGCAGGCTGTAAAGTGTAAGACCCCATCTCCACGTGGGTGGTCGGATCTCCCTAGGACTCACAATCCTTTGCTGCTTTCCTAGAAATTCGAGATTTCCAAAGGGAGCAAAGAAAAAAGAAAAAGTTGGGAAGCTGAAGGGAAGAGAAAAAAAAATTAGTGGAGCGGGGCGGGGGAAGGAGGGCTCTCTCTCTCTCTCTCTCTCTCTCTCTCTCTCTCCTTCTCTCTCTCTCTCTCTCTCTCTATTTCTCTGTCCCGCAAGTGAGAGAAAAGGAAAAATGAGAACGCTGCATAATCTTGTGCTACATTTTGTGGTTTAAAGTTACCAAAAATATCCCGTATCCGGACACTCCAGCAGGCTGTAAAGTGTAAGACCCCATCTCCACGTGGGTGGTCGGATCTCCCTAGGACTCACAATCCTTTGCTGCTTTCCTAGAAATTCGAGATTTCCAAAGGGAGCAAAGAAAAAAGAAAAAGTTGGGAAGCTGAAGGGAAGAGAAAAAAAAATTAGTGGAGCGGGGCGGGGGAAGGAGGGGGGGAAGACAAAAAGGAACGAGTGTATAACAGGCGCGTGACTAGAAACAAAGAACTTAAAGAGAAAAAGGAAAGAAGAAGAAGAAGTAGAAGAGAAGAAGAAGAAGAAAAAGGGTGTCGTGTACACACTGGAAATTGCGTTCACGATACAGTCAATGGTGGATCGCGTGTAGGTTAAAGTTAATGGCCCCGCGGTGGCTGTCCAATGGACAGGAGAACGCGTTTTCAGTGAAAGCGCCGACTTTTATGAACTCTTCGGGACACTTTATTGCCGGCTTTGGCTTTTTTAGATGCACGATACCTGAATTCCACATAGATAGACCCGTCACCGTGAAACGTCTTTGAGGTAATAAAAAGGATTATGGGCTGGCCGAATGCCGGGAACCGCCGTGAAACTATTAAGCCGGCATAAATCATGTTTCGTGAACGCGTCTAATCCATAAGCCTAAAAAGATAAAGTCTCGTCGAGCAACTGCCCCGAAGAAGAAACGTCGATTCCGTTAGCGATCGAACCCGATGATGAATCAAACGTTTCGCTCGTAGCTTTTTAAAGGATGAGAGTGGCGTTGTGTGGGATAAAGATCGACAGGTTAGGATACAACAACTAACCTTAAAAGACGCGGTAAAATGTGCACGTAAAAATATACATTCGTCGTTATTTCTTTCGGTCATCTAACTTTATGTAGACTCTCGCATTAACAGAAATTGAGAAATTGATTGATCAGATTAATTTTCATGAAGTTAGATGAACGAAAGAAATAACGATGAACGTGGAATTTTTCATTAAATTTTCAAACGAAAAATATTTTTGGCCTGTAAGATACGACAATAGCGGACGACTTGACTTGCGTAATTTCACCTATTCGAATTAAGCATTCCTTCTAGTAAAATAATCATGGAATTGGTATTAAAATTTCGTTGTCGTATAACGAATATTAATAGGATGAAATTTAATTTTCGTAACGAGGAGAGTCGAAAAACAAGTCGTACGAGAAGACCGCGTTGGTCATTAATAGAACCTAGCTGGTTGAAAAGAGGAGTCTGAAAAAGGACAAGCAGTTTCGGTCTGAAAGGTCGCAAAAAAATTGTTCGTACTAGAATTCCAAGAAAACGGTCATATATCAAAGGTGGAACTGAAACAATAATTACGTTGCTGCTGTAATATTTTAACAAAAATTTGAAACACAGTAGAATCTAGGCGAACGTTTCATCGATACGTTTCGTGGAAATAATAATTCTCAATGATGGAAGAGTACATCTTTGATCTTTTATTACCTGACCATTTCTTACATTCTTTATTATTACGAGAAAGATATTTCATATTGCGGAATATCGAATTGAAGTTAGTATTACAGCGGAAAACAGCACAGCTATATGCACTTAGTGACAAAAGTTAGGGAGCATAATGAATGGAAAATTACTGTATGTTTTTCATCTTCCAAGATACATTAGCTGGTATATTGTATTAAAAATACAATAAAGACATAACAGTCCATATATGGACGTACAATAAGTTCCAACGTTAAATATTTAAAACGAATACGAAATTGTGAAATTTGGCGATCCTGGTCCTCTAACTAATAATGGAAACTATAGACAGATTCGTGTATGATAAATATAAACATACAATCTATTTTTTGAATTTTAGTAATTTTAGTAATTAATTTATTCATGCCGTGAGGTGAAATAGGTTAAGGGTCACTGCTGTTCTTTTTTTTATTATTTAATTTGTACTTTACATTCGGATTTGTACATATGGACATTCGGTAAATTTTTCTAGCTTCACCGCTATGTTACCAACTTATTGCTTATCTCGTTTTGCGTCGGCATGTTCCATATTTCCAATTCCATTTTACGATATTAAAGAGCACCGAACGGCGGCCATGCGTTCCGATGTAAATCGTACTCGACGCTGTCACCGCATTCGATAGGTAGACGGCCGACGAACAAGCATCGTTACTCCGTTAAAGTAGCTTCTGGCTATCATTATCTCTTCTCGAGAGTCAATCTGACGCAGCAATATAGGAAGCTGGCCTTTGAGAAAGCGCACACGTGTTGGGTTGAAGACAGGTAGCCAACTTCGAATGTTCCCACACGTGGTTTTAGTCACGTCCATAATTAATGCGTGACACGGTACAACTGAATACACAAAATCGTTCGTTTTATCTGAAGAACCGAGGAATCGTAAAGTACGTTTCTTCGACAGCCATTTATGTCGCCTTGTGTCTGTGTAGTCTGTGTAGCTGTGTCGCGCAACAGCTCCACTCTGTTAATTTAACCGTGGAGCGATATGGATTTTCTAACGTTTCCATCGAACAGATACGAGTTTATTCGACGTTGCTTATCAGATAAGATAGAAGAGTGGAATTTTCAAACGGCACGCTTATCCCAATTTATCAGCGAGGTAATCGTTCATTGATTTAATTCGTAGTAGCATTCGGCGGTTGTATCGAGAAGCTGATTTCCTCGAATAGGTTAGGATATCTAGGATATCTAAATAGAATATCTAAATTTTGTAAATATATTTTACAAGTATAGGACAATTGAATCTACTGCAATTGATTACTTCTGGCAAAAAAAAAAGAAAAAAGATGAAAATATGACTTATCATATCATTACAGACACCAATAGATTTCGCATAAAAGTTAACTCTACTTGTAAACAATTCGAAAAAGAGGTTGGCTATTGTGGACCAACGATCAACAAAAATCTTTCTTCCCTACTGTCTACGAAGACATTTGGCATATTATTTTTCTGGGGATTTGTGAATAATCATCTCCATTCAGATGCCATTGCGGACTGCTAATGCGCGTATATATATTCGTACACATGCGTAGTGACAATCAAGTTTTTTTATGCCACACTGCTGGAATTTTACCGAATGTCCAGCTGGACAAATTGTAAAGTACAAATTAAATAATAAAAAAAAACTACTGGAACTTTAGTGTCGAATTTTCATTTAATTTCGAATTTCTTCGTTCCTAATACACCATGAAGCGTTCTAAGCTTGCAGTTATTCCATCTTCCTTATATAGCTTTCTACTGCTGTTTTATATCTACTGCTTTTATATATTTTTAATTTATTGTCCGTACAAGAGGAAGGTTAAATGTTTTTTTTTATTTTAATTTCTGCTTTACAGTTTGTCCAGCAGGACATTTGGTAAATTTATCTAACTAGGTTAAATGTGTGGCTGATTAGCCAGTACATTTTAATGTCTAGATGCTCCACCAGAGTAAGAACAAAATGTAACTTTTATATTTCCCTCCTGCGATCTCTTTGTATCTTCAAATTTATAAGAAGAATATAATTATTGTAACAGCATCTTAAATCTTATCGGTGATTTTCCAGTCTAACTGGCAACAACTTGTTTAAACGTTTCAGCATATTTAACGAGAGTTGTTTATTATTGAAACGAAGGTACTCGCGATTATGCGAATTCAAAGGTATCGAATAAACCTCGCCACGGGTCGTTCGTATATTATGCATTATGTACGTATCCCAACAACGATCAGCAACGTGACAAACGTCGTGAAAGCAGGCGAAGCGAGGAAATCCGACGAGGACCGGTGGAATTCAACAAAACGGGTCGGTAACACGCGAACCCCATAAAGCAGTATGAGGCATGACTTTACGACCCTTGCAATCTCACTTTCTTTCCCTGTTTCGCGCGTGAACATGGGCAACAAGCGACACCGCGATCGACATTATTAGGTTAGAAACTAAGTGGTGCCAACCCAATAAGAAAATCGAGCTCGATGCGACACCGGTGCAATTCGTCAGCTTTGTACGAAGTGTTATAGGGAATTAATGTTATAGTTTTTGCCAACTTCAGTAATTTTCAGCAATAAAACTACACGCAGAGATACGCTTTCAAAGAAGCAAACTGCTCGCCACACAAAACTTCGTCCATTGAATCGTCCCAAAAAAAGAAAAGAAAAGACAGTGCTACAAAGTGGAATTTTGTAGATAAGATTTCAGTCTTCTCTCGATCGGCTCTCCGCTCGGAAAAAAAACTGACTCGAGATCATTAGACTGCACAATGTACGCTACACGAAGGCTTAATTTACGCGTTCTCGTTCACCAAACGATCCCTTCTCCCGGTAATTGTTATCGTTGTTCCATTAAATTACGATAATTGGCGTAGATACGGTGATCCTGGCGAGGGTTCGCGCGCGTTACGCGTTCACTTTCGCGGACTGTCACGTGGCTAAGCTATATACGCGTTTCTCGCGCTGCAACCGGCCGGCTATCGTGGTTATTAAGGAAACAGACGAAGGAACGAAACGAAGGAAGAGGCGCGTTGGGTGGTCCCGCCCCGCTGTTTATGGGGCACTGCATCTGCTGGCCCCGTATAACCCTCTACCGTCGACCTGTGTGGTCCCACCTTACGTCCGACTTTACATTCGATTCACTACTTGCTAATGGTAGTTGCATTAGCATTAGGTGACCGGCTGCGTCTTGGTATTATAACCGGCACCGCGTTCACCGGCCTCGGTTCTTGCGTGATTTTTCAACCGCGATATTGGCCCTCGTTCCTTTTCGCTATGAATCTGTTCGTTAACCAGTAGGCTGCTTTTTCGACGAGTATACTCGTCACGAAAAAACGCCAGTACTTACCAACTCGTCATGTTACAGTTTGCTATTTAAACAACAATTTAAGTGAAAAGTAAAATACATTCGTAAGCTTTAAGACGTCAGGAATATTTGAAGGCCAAGACGAAATGAAAGGGACAAATAAGAAAAATTGTATGTAACGTGAACAGTGCGATACATTTTAGATACACGATTTTCAAACAGGTTTTTTTATTTTTTATTTGTATTTTACAGTTTGCCCAGCTGAACATTTGGTACATTTTTCTTAATTGATAAATAACATGTGGATGACTACTCCCAGCAAGATACCATCTTCGAGTTTTATTTCTTTAGTGAGGTTAGTTTTTTTTTTTGATTTAGTTTACATTCATAATTTGTCCGATTTGGAGGTTAGTGGAGTGTTTTTTCAAACAGGTCGCAACAGGTGGTTAACTCTTCGATTCTTGCAGATTCCACGATTTTCCACTCGTTCTACGGGCTGCTCACAGGATACAGGAAAATGTTTGGAAGAAAAGTGAAATGGTTTGGAATATGCAAATGTATGTTGCTTTCATCAAAAAGGGAAAAGTTTAAGAAAGCTTGTTCAATGATGTTTCTACTTTCACATTTAACGACGTTAAATGATAAATCCATTCAACAACGATCAGGTAAAAATTAAATGATAATTTAATTACAGTGTATCATATAGACAACGCTGTAAGTATCACCAAAAACGTCAGTTTTCTGATAGATTTTCGAAATGTTATTTGTTGATGCGTCAGAAAATTTTCTACTTTTTGCATTGATATATTGCAATTATGAACAAACAAAAAGTTGAAAATACAGAAAATCGAATGTGCCATCGGTTCAAATTTGCAGACACTGCAAGCAACAATCCTGTTTGTCCCCACGCGACATGTACAAAAACAAAAGATACACTTTTTCCCATATGTTCTTTTTATCTTTATTACAAAAATATAGTTTATAATGTGGCGAGTAAGAATTGTTATAAAATTGGTGATATTCAGCGTGCGTGTGTTGCAACATGTGTATCGCATATGGCACTTGCATTCTCTTACATTTACCAAATGTCCAGCTGGACAAATTGTAAAGTATAAATTAAATAATAATAATAAAAAAACATTCTGTTATACAGTAAAATTAGTAATTATTTGCAAATGCAAAATTTCTCTTAAATTCTGTACCACGGTGTGTCCCTATAAAAAAAAATAAGATTTTTCAATTTTTCCATTTACAGTGTCGTTTACAAGGAATCTTCAGTTTACAAACTACGTATTGGCTTGGCAACTAAGTGATTGCGGATTTTGTCATTGGATGGTATTGACATGCTTCTTTGCAAATAACACGACGGCACATAATTTCCAACGGTACCGAGAAACTTGGTCGTGCAGCAACGACCTTAGTTTCACTTTTACCGCACCATTGCCTCTCTCACTCTCGTAGCTTAAACGATGTGCAGCCTACACGGTGCACAGTCATCCGAAATTCTCGCGGACAAAAACCCGAATGAAGAAAAAGTGAGAGAAAAAAGGCATTTTTCCAGCAGACCAATTCCAATATCGCGTACGATATGGTTTGTCGAGACTGAACGATGCACGTGGTCGTTCGTGGTCGTCGCCGCCTGCAGGGTGAAAAATACTTGTGCGGCCGAGCGTGCCACGTAAGTAAGTACTCGATCGGTCTGGCCCGAGAAGGCATCGATCTCGCCATTGATCGATCGATCCGGAGGTCTCGGATAAGATGCTGTCGTCGTCCTGGTCTCGACCTGCTCGTCGTCCAACACAGGGTGGACCACACGCGTTGTGTCGCCTCTCTGACCTTCTCTCCGTCTCTCCTTCGCTGCCTCTGCTCTTGGCTCGCTCCGTTCTCTTCTTTCTCTCCTTTCTCTAGCTCTCCTTTCTCTAGCTCCCCTCTGATTCACCGCTCCACTCTCACTTCGATTCTCCTCTCTCCTATCGTTGCTCTCTTTTCTGCCTTTCGCACGCTACCATCATCCATCGTGAGTCCTTTTTCTTCTGGTTCAACGGTCGTGCACGCGCGCGTCTTGCTCGAAAGGTGGAAGGTGAAAAAAGCGCAGGCTGAAATAGAGGAAGGACGAATAAAACGCTGCATATTACGTGCAAGCGACCTGAATTTACAAAATCTTTTTTTCTTTGCAGTTTCGTTCGAGGCTCGGGAAGAGGAGTTGCGAGGTGCGGCCTCTGTTACTTTATTCGCACTCCGATTGCGATTTTTCCCGAATTTCGTTTACACGTCGTCTGGTGAAGTAGACGTTGGAAGTTGTAAGAGGAATCGAGTCGTTTGGTCGAATTTTCGAGCGGTTATTCTATTTTAAAGGGCGCTGGAACACTTTGGTGAGTCGCTGTAGGGTAACCTAACCTAACATGGAACAGCTGATCTGAGAAACATCGTAAATAGAGCAACATGCTTTCCTTGCGGCGAGAATAACGCGACGTTAACACGCGACAAAATTAATAGACGCTCGTACGTTGATTGTTCACTATGGAAAAGTTGAAGGGTCCTAGAGTAACAGAAAATGTGAAATGCTGCGAGTTTAAGAAACGCTACACTTAGGTTATTTAACACCTGCTATGCAACACCTAGGAAATTTGTAAAGAAATTTCAGGAAACTTTGCTTCTTCTATGAAAAATGGATATTTATATAAATAAAGAAGGAACAGATATGTTGCAATTTTTAGCTTGTATTATATCACATTCATTTTCTTTGTTTCCTACAGGTTTCCTACACCACGAACCTGCAGCACATTCTTCATGATCCCAACGAAAACAGCGAATACATCTCACCTATTCTTCACTATTATTCCGTCTATTGTAATCCTCGCTATGGAATGAATATAATCCTCTACCATCATCATCAGTGGCAGCATCATTGACATGTTGCATGTTGCGTACACTCAACGTGCTCCTCCATATTCGGCACGTAGGTATTTTGACAGAAAAATAATAATAATATTAGAAAAAAAAAATAAACTGAAATAAAAATATAATAAATTTCCCTTGGACGCTGGGAAGAAACAAATGTGTTTAATGACAAGTTGTACAAAAGTGGTATTTTTTAAAGTTTCTTCGCTGAGAAGTCGCCATTCAACTCACCTCTCAAAAACTTGTATTCAAACTCGGTCATCAACTGCATCCGACAGATCTCCAAATAAAATTCAAACGTGGATATTTTTTAACTGGAAGAAATAAAATTGTTGAGTAAACACGATGAAACTCTGTTTTCTCGAAAACGAAGCCTCAAATGGAAAAATATCTTCGCAGCCGATCTCACAATGTATCAAATCGCCAACTATCCAAATTTATAGCAATCAAATTTCCAAGCTCGGTTTTCTCAACAACGAAGTCTCAAACGTAAAAAACATATTCTACATTTCACACATATCTTTTCACGTAGATCCTAGCGCTCCTCGATTGTGCTACCCGTTCTGGGACACCCTGTATATATATGTACAGTATAACATATAACAAATGATACTGAAATTAAAGAGAAAAGAGAGGGAAAAGTCTACGCAACCGAAAACTTTTGCATGCCACTGTATACGCGTTTCGACTTAGCTCGCCTACTCTTCCGTTTTGTTTCGCTTTCTTTTCTTTTCCTTTGCGTCTTGGCAGAACCGCGCGTAAAAACGCCCTCGCTCGCGTCGTTCTTGCGCGCGCCGGACGTTATTTATACTGTACGATTGGCCAACTTTTTCTGCCTGTTCTTTCCGTCTGTCTTCTTCTCCGCCGGAATTCTCATTCTTAGCTGTGCAACGTTACGCCGCGAGTTGCACACGTTCGACATTCCTCCGCGTGCCGCTCGCCGAGGGTGCTAATTGATTACGCAAGCCATTCGCTCGAGAAGTTGGAGACCCTTTGGCTCCGGATCGTAGCGCACGTTCGATAAAATAGATAAATAAGTGTTATTTTCGAGGTACGTGGGGAATTTCGTTTTAAGAATCCCCTAGGGAACGCGTAGTTCAAATCAAACGACGACGAGTATATACGTCGGAGGGAGGGCAGGCTCTCCTGTTATGAATTTTACGAAGAAGATTAAACAAAACGAGGAAGAATTATATTTCTGTTAGATAAAAAATTAACAATTAGTCGGTGGAGAAGTATTGTTAAGTATTGAGAAGTATTCTTAGCAAGTTTCAAAATTCAATTTCAAATTGTGCATTCGTCGTTGTTTCTTTTGCTCATCTGACTTTAGGTAAATTGTTATATTAACAATTAACAAGACAGTGTAAGAGTTTACGGAAAGTTAGATGAACGTGGAATTTTAAATTAAATTTCGAAACCCGTCTATTGACCGAGTCTGCTGAGGTTAGTGTTTCAGCAGATCTTTTAGGGTCATCTTTTTTTGAAAGGAAGGAGGTTGTTTCTTAGAACGACAAGTGATACTTGTGAAAAAATTGTACTTATTAAGAAACTAGAGTCGATTACAACTTTATTAGCACCCAGTTATTTCCTATTAGAAATGAATTACACTTCCATGATAATTCAATTAATAGGAAAGTCTATGTTCTAAAGCCTGGATTATCCTCAAGCTAATAAACGAGCGTAAATTCTACGATACGATATGGCAAGTAAGTTGCCTCTACAGTGATTGTTGTTACTTGTTCGAACAACGATCTTACTATCTCATTTAATTCGTTAATCTCATAATTATTAATCATTTATTGTTTCCATATAATTACACGCAGGACCATCGACGAGCCATCAAGAAATTATTCCGGAGAACGCAACAATTAACGTTAATCACCGCTTAAATGGGTAAAAAGAAGGGCACAATGGCAATGGACAATTAGCCTGTGCGTCTCGCTCCTGGCGTATGATCACCGTGCAAACGCTAAGAGCAGCTCTCGCCACTCCTCATTCGCCGGGTTCTAATCGACCTTAATTTCCCCGTGAAACACTAAATCTACCCTCAAACGGGTTGCCTGGCTAGCCTCAATAAAGCAAGAAGGGAAACGGCTTCGAACACCGATCATTACCGTCTCAGTTCAGCTTGCACCGATCTCGGCTCACCATGGGCTCGCCTTCGGATTCCGCATACTATTTATTACAGCGTAACAATATCTTTCATTACCTTTACCTATAATAACACCTATTCATCTTTGAGAGCCGCTCTCCTTTCCCTGGAACCGTTTCTTTCCAGAGGAATCCTCGTCGCGATCCTCCAATATCACGCATACATAGAGAAATGGTAGGCAGAGTGAAGGAGAAGAGGAAGAGAAAGAGGAGGAGAAGGAAGAAGAAGATGACGACGAAGGAAGAGAAGATAGAGGAGGAAGAGGAGGAGGAGGAGGAGGAGGACAGGAGACAACAACGGTTGCTCCTGGACGGAGGACGAAGGAGGGCAAAAGCAGCCACGCCACGGAGGATGAGGATTCCCCTCGGCCAGCGAGCAGCGAGAGAAAGAGAGAGGGCCACCCACGTCGAGGGCGCAAAGGCGATATTTAGCGGAAGGCAAATCTCTCTGGGGCCACCCACGTCGGCTCCTTGGTTCGTCGTCGGGGCTACCTTATTTCAGGGTGCAACCAAGACGGCTGTGTTGCCTCTCTGTGCTACGGTGCGTGAGCCACTAGCACGGTAGACGCGATACTCCAGGGACGACCGATCCAGTCACAGTGCCCTGATTCCTTTCGATGTTATCCCGAATGACAGCCACGAAATTTGTCGGGTATCGTTGGACAAGATAGTAGACCTGAAAAACAGGATCTTTGCTTGGCCGAGCGATGCGTTTGGAAGATACAGGTTTCTACGTACACTATCGTGCGTTCGTGTTTGCACGTTTCCGAATTGTATGAAATTGTTGCAAGTATGTAAAATGTATTGGGTCGTCCGAAAAGTTTCTTTTTTTATATAAGCAAATAATAGACGCATGACATTTTTGTTTTGTATTATTCTATTGAATCACGTATGGTACATTTTCTTCTATTAACATTTGACAGATTAGCTTTCGTAAAGATGCGTTGTTGTAGAAGACATGTTTGTAAAAAGAAGACACTTTTTGGACAAGCTAATGCTTCGAATAAAACTCTTGAACTTAAACGCGATGCCCATTTCGCTGTGATTTCCAGAGGAACAATGTCAGTTACGACACACTGCGAAGAATTGGCGGCTGCGCTTACGCAGCATTTTGTACACCTATATATATGTTGTATATACCAGTGTATATATACAGTAGGCTAGAAGTTTTGAGAGCAACAAGTGTGTACAGTAATTTGCTCGGCCATGTTCAAACGCGTCAGTGTTGTACAGGATGAGGATAAAGGTACATCACGTTGTGCTAGTCATCGTATGTGTACATATTTTTTCATTTGCACTAACAGACTTTATTTACGCGATTTGCATTGGCGTAAAACGAATCCAGTATACAACGTTAGTTAACAAGTGTAACTGAGCAACAGAGTGTACAGTGCACAATCCACCGATTTACTTGCCAACGCATAGTCCAAACCGCTGTACCTAGAAACGTGAAATTTGAACATTTGTATAGATGTTTTATGACGTAGGCGTGGGGTAACATAACATTTTTGCAAATACGAACCCTATGAAGGATAAAAAAGGGGCGACATTTTTTTTTTAAAGGACAATCATATCTCTCGAGTTGCCGGGATTAGTCACGTGAAATTCGACACGCGAAGTACTCATTGAAGATAAACAAACACGCGTTCGAGCATTTTTGGACATTCGATTCCTAACGAGTGTTCCAACAGAGGGTAAAACAGAAATTCTAGTATCATGTAACTAGTACGTTACAGTATATGGCAGATAGTTGGAATAAATAAACAAGCGATGATTGAAGGTTAATGGAAATTGTTTCTACAGATATCTAAGTTAAATGAATTTGAGTTAAGTCTGTTCGATGTTGTTAACGTCAGCTATTCATCACAGATGATTATTACTCGTTTCAGTTTTGATTTAACAGAAAATTTGATCCCATCTATGGCATGACACCCAACAGATCTGACAAAGGACATAACCTAACAAACAAACACTCACCTCACTAAAGAAATAAAACAATCAAATTCGAAGATGGTATCTCACTGGGGATAACGATCCACGTGTTACTTACCAATTAAGTTAGAACAATTTACCAAATGTCCAGCTGGACAAATCGTAAAGTATAAATTAAATAATAAAAAAAAAGTCTATGGCAAGATGTAAACATAGAGAAACATTCTTCTATCGTAGTGTTGAAAATGTATTAAAAATATCAGTGTTTCGTTTGGATTGCACGAGTATCGAAGTGCTTGTGCAGAGTAGTGGACATAAATCTTCACTCACGCAATTAGTACGACGCTTGTTTGGCAATTAGTACGACAACGTGAATATGAACGAGGTATATACAGAATTGTACGGGGAGAAAGATAAATCAACAGATAGTGTGGAAATATCATGTGCAGATATCAATGAAGTTTCATGGTTCCTTTGTTTCGAGTGCAGCAATTGTGACAGCATCAACACAGTAGGGCTTTTGTTATTTAAGCCAAACGTATTGGCGATTTTATCGTCGTAAGGGCAGTCGCGACAATATAAACTCTGATTATACACTTGCGCATTGAAATTTTAATGCACGAGTTGCCAGTACGTTATATGTAATTTGATAATAAGGCGATTAGCAGAAAATTGCAGTGCGGCTGGTTGAAAATGACCTGTTTATAAGAGCATTTTTATGGCCACCGTGTACAGTAGATTCCGCATAATAATTTGCAAATTACTCGTAATGCGACATACGATGACATAAGAAACGATAATACCGTTAGTTACTAAATAAACTATCAACATTTCACGCCCCATTCCAGAGATAACAATCATTGACGATCACGTTGACTACCGATGAATTAAATTTCCTCCTTTAAATTTTCCTCGTATGCATTCGTTCTTCGACGTTCGCGAAATTATGCTGTTAGGAAAATTAGATTCGCGTAGACTAATCGTTTCAATTCTTATTTCAGTATAAAGAATTGGACACGTTTCTTTAATAACTTCGTAGTAACTATTGGCAACTAAGTGATTGCGGATGTTATCAATAACACCTAATGACAAAATCCGCAATCACTTAGTTGCCAACCCGATAGACTGGTATGCAAATTTATACAAACTCATATTTTCATGAACGTGATTTTAAGGAAATGGAATGTAAGTACATCATTCGTACACTTATCGTTAGTAAATATCGTAATTTATTATTTTGATTTTACTCGAAAGCACGTGCAACGTGTTTTCTAAACTTTCGGAACGTCGATCCTGAATTTCAATATTTTAATCGTTGTATATAAAATACAAGAATACAAAATAATATTAAACGTCGTGAAATTAAGTAACTCGGTTTAAATTGAGTGTCGATAATCTGTGAATAAATGAACGATTGTCTATGTTGTATATATATGTTCTATATCAACGTAGTGAAACAACTCACACGTTGCTGTTTCTATTGTTATTGCTGTTGTCCATTAGCAGTTGCAGGTGCATCGTTGTACTTGCAAAAATAATTCTCATATCAACATAATGAAACAATTCACACGTTGGTGTTTCTATTGTTATTGCTGTTGTCCATTAGCAGTTGCAGGTGCATCGTTGTACTTGCAAAAATAATTCTCATATCAACATA